CCGACTATTCAAAGCATCGGTTCCCATGTCGCTACAATTTGTAGTAGTAAGGTTAACTTGAAATAGTGAAAATAAGTAACTCCTGTGAGAAAACTAAAGAAATAGCCTGAACAGTGTTTTAAAAAGCGACGAAGCGATCGCTTTAAGTGAGAAGCGACGCAAAGCGATGGCTGCTCGCTTTTCCATGCCTGAGGCGACTCGACCACACGAAGCGCTCGCTTCAGTCGAAAAAGCGCGAAGCGACCTTGAAGCGAGAAGCGCAGAATCGCTCGCTTCTGTTCAAAGAGGTCAGTTTTTTTAAAAGAAAAAGTTTGNGAAGCGCAGAATCGCTCGCTTCTGTTCAGAGGGTCAGTTTTTAAAAAAAAAGTTTGGGTCTGTTTTTTTTATTATACAAAACATACCCCTAAGACCAAAGTGAAGACCATTTCTCTCTTCTTCCCAAAATCAATTGCTGCTAAGTGCTGCTAGGGTTCAAGTCGCCAAAGACCTCTCCAATCCTCCAGATAATTTTTCTTCTTTCTTATTCTTGTTCCCGTCCAGGCGTCTGCTCACAGCTAGGGCAGGCGCGATTTTTTTTTTCCTTTTATTCTTCTTATTTAGTATTTTATCCTTTATTTATTAATTTGTATGTGTATTTCAATTTATAAATTTGATTATTTTAAGTTTACAAAGTTAATTTTTTATATATATATATATATATATATATATATATTCAGTTTATTTGACTAGTATTTTAACCTTTATTTATTAATTTTTATGCGTATTTCAGTTTATAAAGTTAATTATTATATATACATATATATATATATACATATATATATATATATATATTTTTTCAGTTTATTTGATTATGTTTTTTTCTTATATATAAATTGAACATTTTGATTATTTATATTGTGTCTTTGCAAGGTTTACATTATGTTTTTTAAGAATTGCGCTTCACTTCAATGAAGCGTGCGCTTCACTTTTGAAGCGAGGCAAGCCCCTGTCGCTTTTTTGCGCGCTTCTCGCTTTCAAAAACACTGAGCTTGAAAAACACTATTTACAGCAGGAAACAGAACTGTTCTGCGCCGGAAACACTGTAGCTCGCCGGAAAATTCCAAAGTTGTCGGAATTTGTCGTACCCGGAATGGATAGACTCGGAATTCCCTTGCGAGCAAGCTGTCCTGAAGAAATGTTTTCAAAAAATGGCCGGAAGGTCACTGTTCACGCCGGAAAATATAAAAGTGGTCGGAATTGATTTGAATTAGATGGGTAAGCTCGGAATTTTGAGGAGAGCAGATTGTCCTGAAGAAGCTTCGCGAAAAAATGGCCGAAAAGTGGCCAGAACCCTCGCCGGAAAAGTTGTTGTCGGCGCGTGGAGGAGCGTAGCGGCTTTTCTGCCGGATAAATTTTCAAGGGTTGGTCGTCGGAGGGTAATCTACATCGTGGTGGTGTTGGTTTTAGCACAACACCGACAGAAAGTGACTTTCACTTAGACAAGCCTTAGGTCACCGGAAAAAATTGCACGATGACTAAGTTCTTTCTTCCCGGTTAACGCTTGAATGACGCACAACGATCTTTTCTCACTAATGCTCCGATACCATGTGAGAAGGCACGGGAGAAAATATGTTATTGATATTGGATGATAAATACAATACAAGAGGTCCCTATTTATAGCTATACACTGCAAGGAGATATTACTCCTCTTCCAATGTGGGACAAGACTACACTATACATATCTGTAAACTAACACATAGGACAGGAAGCTCTAATGATTGACTCGAATTCATATCTTGCATCAAAATAAAATGTTTCCTACCATTAAGGAGGTAAAGCATACAAGGAAACATAATCTGTGTTAGTCATTCACCATTTCATCAAGACAATAAATATCTCTTCAGTTCATTTACTTATCCTTGTCAAAATTTTAACCTTCTGAAAAGCAAGCAATAGCACCTGCTTTTAAAAGTGAAATTACATGGCAAATTCTTATATTTGCTCCTCGGTTGATGAATAAGATGACCATGTATGAAATAATATAGCAAGTATGCAACAGTTCATTTCTCTCTCATTCACTCTTAAGTCTCCCCTAGACAGGACAAAGGTATTCAGCAAATCTGGCCAGATAAGCATGTTTTAGAGCAATGAAGGTTTGATAAGCAGATCGACCTATATATACTAAATGCTTGCATGTCACAATTTACAAATATTATGCAACTGCAAAGAAAAGGATTTCTCAAGCATTAATTATAACAGCAAGAACAAGCTGAATTAAATCAATTTTAACTCAAAATGTAAAGAAACACAGGTAACAATAAACTTGTAATAGTACTTCTGAGTCAAAAAGTCAAGTCTAATTCATCAAGTTCATTTTCAAGAGAAACGAAAACATTTTACTTGAAAATCATCAACAGGCAATAATTCAAGGCAGAAACCATGCCTCGAAAAGATCAGTCAGAGGATCTCTTTTAGAATCTTGTTGCCTCTGCCTTCTCCTTGAGCTTCCCTGGAAACTGTCTGCTTCGGATTTTATAAGGTAACGAGTCTTCTCTAACACGTCTTCAAGAAACAGCTCTGCCACTGGATATGTCAAGCCCTGGAAAAATAAACCTAAGAAAATTAGATGCAGAACATCATATTTGAACTTGTCTTATAACATGGAGATACACAAGCTTAAACCGCAATACCGATATATGAATTTTGGGTGCATTTCTGAAGTATTTGGAGAACAACTCAGCGTTAATAGTAGCACTCATCAGAATGAGACGCAAATCAGGCCGTCGAGGAAGGAGGTCACGTAAAATTATTAAGAGAAAGTCTTCATTCATGCCTCTTTCATGGATTTCATCAACAAGCAGATGGCTAACACCAGTCAAATCAGGGTCCTGAACCTACATTGAAAAGGAACGGAACGAAAAAATCATCTTTCGTTCAAATAGATGTAAAAACTTTCATTCGTAGTTTCGTACTAATCCAAGATAACTACTAGATAATTATATAAATAGTATCACACCCATCTTAAGCAAACAATATATTAAGTTTTTTTTTTATGAAGTAGATTCATTGAAGGCATCAAGAAGATGCAAAATAACAAAAGTTACAAATGTGATTCTGTTAGCTCCAATACATGAGAATTAGACCAGGACTAGGGAGCATACAAAATCCAAAAAGATGATCTGTGCTATTTACAGAAGAGAGTTTACACCAGCTAAACAGACTCATAGACATCTAGCCTTTAAGGAGTGATTTGGAGTTGAGATACCATCAAAGCATCTAAGGTTCCTCTCTGTCCAGAAATATTAAGACAATACATTAAGTTTCCTTCATCTTCTATTGTTGAGCTTATATCGGAGCACATAGAAGCCGTGTTAATTGACTCTCTGAATACACAGCAGCTTAGTCATAAAAATGTGGAGACAAAAAAATAATATGTATATTAAGCATTGCAAGTAGCAATCTGCGCTGCCCTGTACTATTTCAATTAAACAAGAATTACAAAAGTCTTGGCAGAAAAGAGTTGCAGAGCGTAATACCAGCTGCCGCAATAACACTCCTGTTGTGCAAAATAGCAACCGCGTTTGAGCAGAGCGCTTTGACTCCAGTCGGATCTGGTAACCAACAGTATCAGCAAGATTCTCTCCTCTTTCAGAGCATATTCTAGCTGCAACTGATATGGCAGATATACGGCGAGGCTGAGTGCATATAATGTTACAGTCAGCACCACGGAGGGATGATATCTCCTCTTCTAGAATGAATTGAGGGAGCTGAGTGGTCTTGCCACAACCAGTTTCTCCAGAAACTACCAAAACCTGTATTGACCACATAGTGAGTATACTCTCCCTGGAAAAGCGCTAATAGGCTAGTAATGCGTTTCAAAAGCATGGAAGCACCAGAAAGACCAGGAAATTGAATTAGAATCCAGCAATAGGAAAGATTATTGCAAACATGCCAATTGACCTGCAAGCAGAGATTCCTAACAATGAATGCTTTTCAAACATGGGACAAGTTTTCCACAAAATTTCAAAGTGACTCCGAGAAAAACAAAATGGAAAGTATGAAGCATAATGAAAGGATGAACATAAAACAATTATGCCAGAAGAGGTATAGCCTGTTCGGCCAAGCTGGAGAAATCAGCTTATTTTGAGAAGTGCTTTTTTCAATTTGTGTTTGGCTAATCACTCTGAAAAGCACTTTGTGCAATAATTTGTATTTGGCCAAACTTTTCAGAAAGTGCTTTTAAGTATCAAATTACGAATAAGGACATGAATAAATTTACTTAATAGTTAATATTATAAGTAAATTAATAATCTTAAAAAATTGTTATTACAGGCAATAATTAAAAAATTTTATTTTATTTTAGTAAAATATGAAAATAAAATTTAAAAGTACTTAATTCTTTTAATATAAGTTAAAATGTATTAAAAATCATTCAACAAATATAAAAGCATTCACCCCTAAAGTCATTATATATTAGAAAACTATCCTAAAAATAATAAGAAATATTTATACATTAATATCCTAAGTATTAGGTTTAATGGTTATTTTGGTATATACTATATTTTGTTAAGGGTATTTTTGGTAAGAAGAAAAGTCAAAACTGCTTCTGCTTCTGCTTTTGGGAAGAAGCTACTTTTTTCTGCTTCTCAGAAACTGCTTTTGCTTCTTCCCAAAAGCATTTTTTTCCCCAAAAAAGCTTGGCCAAACACCTCAAGTTAGGAAAAAAAAGACTGGAAATCAAAACATCGGTGTGTAAAAGTTATCCCCAAATTAACTAATATCCCAAACCAAACATAGGATAAAGTTAATCCAAAACTTTATCCCGGGATTATTATCCTTATCTCATGTACCAAACGAGCCCTCAAACCTTAAGTAGTAAACCATTTTAATTTTAGTATAGTTGATATAAAGCTTTATGCTTTAACGTGTTTCTTTCAAGAGTGTTTCTTTTTAAGAAGTACGTGAATTATCCCCGGAAATAGCCAACCAAGGTGGCCTCTTTTCCGGCTATCGTGTCATAGTGGTGTTCCTAACCTCGCCAATATTGGTACACCTCAACGTTCCGGCGTCAACTTGATAATAATCCAACTTTTTTGGTAAAAACAATGGTGAATCCATTCGAGCCGAGTGCCTCGTCACTGTTATGAATTCTTGATTGCCCCAAAAACAATCCTCCTCAAAGGGTCTATGTAGCCAATTTTTCTCTTCATACGTGATTGTTGAGAGGTTTTCATGTGACCAAGTATGGCTTCTTTCTTCGAATTTAGTGTACCGAGCTTTGTAGAAACCAAAAATCTCATTGCAGGTTGTTTTCTCATAACTCCTCCATGACCCCATTAATCTCTTGGCTACAAATTTGATTAATATCGTATGTGTTCATCCGTCATATTATGAAAGAGCTTAGTAATTTTATACTCTTATTTGAGCCAAAAATATCTAGACTTTGTCTCCACAAAATTTCCTCCATTCTGGAAATTCTTACTAGTTCTCAACAACAACTTGTCATCATTGAAGCTTCTTTCTTCTGTGATAATATCAAGAGCTTGAATATTATTGAGGATATCGGACTTGTCGCATTCCAGATTAACAAAGGAGATCTAGTTCCATTCTTACAACTTAGCTTTTAACATCTTCAGGTTTTTTACATCATACCCCCCGGAAGTGCAGCCCTTCCTGGATCCTGCGTGAATGGGAATGCTTTGGGCACCGACTAACCCTTTTAGAATGAAATCTGGTTTGCCATGTATATAAAAAGGAGGCCCACCAATTCTTGGTTGTACCTTCAAAACCCTTTTTCTCAAGCCATATGTTTCTAAACTAAAAGTAAGGAGAGTGATCAGAGCGATCTTTAGGGAGAAGGGATTGTTTAATGTTGGAGAAAGTGCAATCCCAGCGTGTAGAAAATGAAAACGGTTTTAATCTTTAAGCAGCAGTACTATTGCCCCTCTAGACCAATTTTTTTTAGGAAGGTAAGTATTCTATCTAGATCAAGTTAATTTGACACTAGACAAAAGGTGGGTCGACAAGCTAAGGATACTCGATAAAATTAGAATATTCTTTCATGGAATTAGTTAATGTGTGGAGGTGGTTCCTCTTAGCACGAAATCTGATTAGATCACCGCAAATAGCTCGGAATTTTCAAAGAGACCCATAGTGGCAACAAGTTCGAGCCCATAATGATTCTGTGTCCGTTCTATCGGCTAGTACGCACGTCATAATTAGTGAACGAATGTAAACTTCGTTGCGCAACAGTAAGTAGTATTGCTCACAAAGCAAGCTTAGGAATGAATCTAATGGAAATTTAGGTCTCTATTCGCTTGAAAGATTAGTCTTTCCTCGGAAAGAGGGAAAAAGGTGTGTAGGAAAAGGTGTGTGGAAAAAATCCAAAACAATAGAAGATTTCATCCACCAAGTGGGACAGGGTGTGACCCCTTACCTCTCTCACTTTATTCGAGTTGAATTACATCCACCCTCTCCCTTTTTGGGGAATGGCTGCAATCACACCTGAAAGTGAACCGTTAGTGAAAACTTACTTTTTGTCTGATTAATAGGAATTTCTTGCTTGATAAGGGATTAGTTTAAGTTGGACCGAGAAGTAAGAGTTTGTAATTGAAATGGGGGGCTGAGTAGTCTCAAACTTTCTATCTGAAGTAAATGTCGGAAGTCCAAGATGGTGGTTTGGAACATCCAAGAGGACACCCGATCCGCGTTCTCTTCACTTGGTAAAGAGGAGAGACAATCAGAAGAGTTAATATAACATAAGAAATGATAGCAAGAGTTAATGTAACATTGAAGCTAATAAGATTATAATTACTAACTGTTGCTCCTGTACATATAGGATATAATTTATTCTTTTAGTTATATGAATACCAGCAGCTGAGTGGCCAAAACACAAAAGCAATTGACAAGAACCTTTCTAATTCATCTATTGTTATAATTGCATACTCCAAAACTTTCAGTCTGATATTCTGGTTTTGGGTAGGCTGTCTACGTTACACCTATTGGGGTGCGGCCCTTCCCCCAAATCCCGATCCTGCGTGAATGCGGGATGCTTTGTGCACCCGGGTTGCCCTTTATTCTGCTTTGACGTAAGATATTATTGTACTTTTCTGCTTCAAGACTCGCACTATAATAATCTGCTTCAGTACTCCAACCTTGCACTCCATTACTAAATAAAGTTCTCTTCAAGTAAAATTCAGTATCAAGAAGTTGCGAGTCATTATAAATTCAAACTATGATCCCAAAGCCATAGCAGTCATGTGATAAAACATACTCAAAAGATTGTAATTTGAATTACCAGGCAAATTGCTAGAAATCTTGCTTATGCATTCAGGTGTAGGTCCTTGTATACCTGATTCCTTTACTTCCACCTTCCATAACTAATATCTCCATGACTCAAAAGCTAAGCAGATAACGATGTGGCATATTTTGCTCTCCTAGTCCAGCCAAATTTGCTATCAACTTCAACACACACACACACACACACATAAATGTGTGTGTGTATATATATATATATAATAGGGAGAAAGCAAGTGATGACTACCCAGACAGACCAATGCATACTGTCCATGCACACTCTAAAACCACTTAAGATGAATATTGTACATTTAAATGCGTAAGTGTTTCTAAATACACATGGCAAGATCTAAAGTTTAGTAGAGTTGTATGTGAAATCATCTGCAAATTAGACAATTCGGAAATAAAATGAGCTGAAACAGCATACTTTCATGCGGCAAAAGTAATTATTACTGATATTGCACCTGATTACTTGCAACAGCTTCCAAAAATTCATATTTTACTTTAAATGCTGGAAGTTCTTCCCTGAATGAGATCATTGCCTTGACTTTTTCACTTTCCTACAAGCAGAATGATCTAAAAACAGTCAACTTCTGCAACTAAAAAGTACCATAAAAATAAGATTGAGGACAGATAAGCCAGAGAGAAAAAGGTGTACGGTGTACCCTTGTCTTTTCCTGTTTCTGTTTAAGTTCATTATTAAGTCTCTGCTTGGCAGTATCATTCTCTACAGTCAACTTAGGTCTGGCCGTTTCTAGAGCTTTGGATGATAATTTGGCAGAACTACCAGATGTTGAAGAGGAAGTCCCACCAGATACAGTATCTTGTGAACTACTCAATAGATTTCCGACTCTTTCCTCAATCTCCGTAGACATCCTTATCTGTGACATAGTTACAAAGTAATTATATTTTTTATTAGTGTGGTTACAGTTAACTTACACGTTAACAAATACCAAAGAACACAAGCAACCCACCAATAATGATAAGTGAAAGAACACTCTTACCAGCTAACAGCAAGATGCCAGTATTATACCTCTTTCTGTGTAGATCCATGACGCTCGTCAAGATCAGCACGATAGCTTGGCAATGGGACTTTGCTTGCAACAAGTGCCTTTCCTTTGTTATAAGCATGGCTTTCTTCCAGCAAATACAAAAGGCATGGAAAGAACAATTAGGTAAATGCTTTACTTCACTATGACATAAAATGGTGCTTTTTAATGGTGAATCCACAAGGAAAACCATTTTTTCTTAAAACCACAAAGGAAGCCAGCTTATTTTTCAAATGAGCGGATGGAGCCAATTTATTTACCAGGTTTAGTTTCTTCTTCCATTAAGTTAGACACAAACACACAAGAAATGTCATATATCACACATGTAAGTTCCCGCAATTACCATACATTGGAAAGTGTAAGTGACATGTCTGCTTTATTGAGAATGAAACTTCTTTTTTTTTTTTTTGGAGAATGAACATGTCTGCTTTTCATCTCCTAAGTTTGAGTTACTTATAAAAAAAGTAAAAAACATATTAATTTGAGATAAAGTAGAGAATATGTAGACATTAAATAATTTAAAATAACAACTACACTTCAATCCTCAGTTAGTTGGTACCTGCCATATGCATCCTCACTATACATTTTGCCCAATATTCAATTACATAGATTCTCTAACACTAGAAAATCCCTACACTTTCTACTTGCATACAAATCTCTAATAAGATTACAAGACTCCTAGAGAATAATGGACCAAAAGTAAGCTACCAATATGTCTAAGCCTTAATCCAACTAATTGATATCACCTATGTAGCCTTTTTGCTTTCTGTCATTTTTAATAGAAATTAACAAGATCTTTTCTTTTTTCCATTATACCCTATTTTCCACTAAGTTCTCATGGATTCTGAGATATTGTAGGCCTTTTGAGATAACTTTCTTCCATGTAATTTTAAATGAATTAATAAACAAAATTAAATGGTTTACATCTTAAATAAATTGTGCAACTACTACATTCTCCGTACGTTTGCAACTTATGTGAAGATTAACAGGTCACAAATACAAAAGTCATATTTAAGTAAGTTCATTTCCTGTCTCACAACCATATCTAATATACAGGTAATGTAACAATTCCTTTTCTCAAATTCCATGATGCACTTTTCTCAAATCTTCTTTTTACGAATTTACATATATAAATAAGAAATAGAGAATGTATGCAATGTTCGCAAAGTTTTAGGACATGCATGGAGGAGAAAGGTAAATATGTGTTTTGACACAGTAGAAGCATGTTTTAAGAAATTTTTCTTTTTGTGTAAATTGTCATTTTCCTGCATTACAAAAGCAAGACTACTCGCATCTTCAATTACATTTGGTCTTTGCAATCTATGTTTAATTATAAATGTAAGTTCATAATGATGGAAATGGCAGCACATGCCATGCTAAATATAAAACAAACAAAAATAAATCAAAATCCTAGTAGTGATAACCGCAGTTTTTCCTCATGATCAAACCACTTACAAGTAAAGCTCTAATTGATACGCCATATCAGCCAACTTTTGCTGGTCATCCCTACTAAAATTCCGCCTTATTACCATTTCCTGCTCGCCTCCTTTCTTAAACTGCTCCATCTTCCCCCACCACTCATTTTCATTCATCACCTCCATCTACAACCAAAATTCACACTGTTAACTTTGAACACGCCATCAATCACTCGAATGTTATTCACAATTGCATAAACATACACATCACGACTTCATATAAACAGTGAAAAGAAAGGGTATTGTTCGTCTGCAGCCGTACATCTATATTTATACATTTCTAACAAAAGCACAAACAATGAACCAAAAAGCAGATTATGTATTATACATAAGAAGCCTTCATTTTGGCAAAAAGGAAAAAATGTGTGTGTGTAAGCTTGGCACAGGAACAGTACCTCAGCGGCTTGTTGCCGAAGGCGTTCGGCACGCCAGACAGGGTCCCACCATCTCTGTTCACCACCGNATTTTAACCTAAAATGTGACGGAACGCAACTCCTTGGGGCTGATGAAGAAAGGGAGTTGCGGAAGTGAAAATGGAGAAGGGCGGAGGACTGGGGGTTCAGAAGGCGCACTGACATCAGCGCGTGTACCAACGGGGCGTAGGGGTTTTATTTAGTGAACCCCATATTAATGAATACGCAACTCTAAAAAAAAATACTATAAATATTACTATTAAACAATGTATTTTTTAAGTTATAAAATAAAAAGTAAGAAAATGTCACCAAAAAAAGAATGTTGATCTCATTTAGCTCAATTAAATCTAGAAGAATTTACGAGGATTACCTATTAAACTTAAACTAATTATCCGATTTTACTTATTTGAATAGTAATTACTAAATATACATATTCCATATAAAACTATTACCCGTCTAGCCATAAAGGAAGTCTCTAAAGGCTCCAGGGGAAATGAACATATATCCAACCCACCTTAATCTTCCGTGTTTCCAAGGTAAGAAACATTTTTATTTCTCTCTTCATCAATTTCCTCTCTTTGTTCTTGCTTTTATTTTCATAAGTTAAATTGTTTATTATGTGATGATTTCGTGTATATAACAAAAGAGGTTTACTCAATATGTGCAAATTACGATTCAATTAACTCACTACGTGCATGTAGTTTAATTTTCTCTTGTTGAATGAAAGTATCACCTATTGAATGCCTTTCCTCGCCACAAAACACTCTCTCCCTCCCTACAAATTTTATATTTTCTCGTAACTCTTTGTCATTGTTCGAGTCATTTTTCAAAATTTGATTGTGATTTCGGTACTTGGAATTTGTTATTGTTCGATGATAAACTAAGCAAATTGTAACGACCCGACCGGTCGTTTTGAGCTCTAGCACGCCGTTCGGCGGTTTGAGGCCATGAGCAACTTCACTTCAGGTATTATAACTTGTACGCGTGGTGGGAATTGAAATTTCAGAAGTTCAGAGTTGAATTGGAAAGAAAATTCTCATTTCGAAAGCTTTAAGTTGGAAGAATTGACTAAGATTGGATTTTAGAGTAAACGGCCTCGGAATCGAGATTTGAAGGTTCCAGCAGGTTTGTATGATGATTTCGGACTTGGGCGTATGTTCGGATCGTGTTTTGGATACCCCGGGAGCATTTTCGGCACCTATTGTGGAGGTTAGCATTTTGGAAGAATCCCATAAATTTGGATTGAAGTACATTTCAATGTTATCGATGTCCGTCTGGAGTTTCGAGTCTGAGAATAGCTCTGTATGGTAATTTCGGTATTGGGAGTGCATCTGGAAGTGGATTTGGAGGTTCGTAGGTCATTTTGGGGCCATTTTGCGAAAGTTAGAAATTTGAAGGTTTTTGAGAAGTTTGACCGGGAGTGAACTTTTTGATATCGAGGTCGGATTCTAATTTCGAAAGATGGAGTAGGTCCGTAATGTCAATTATGACTTGTGTGCAAAATTTGAGGTCAATCGGACGTGATTTGATAGGTTTCGGCATCAAATATAGAAGTTAAAGTTCTAGAGTTCATAAAGCTTGAATTGAGTTGTGATTCGTGATTTCGACGTTGTTTGATGTGATTTGAAGGCTTGACTAAGTTCGTAATGTGTTTTGGAACGTGTTGGTATAATTGGTTGAGGTCCCGAGTGCCTCGGGTGGATTCCGGATGGTTAACGGATAGAGTTTGGACTTGGAAGAAAAGATGAGGCAGCTGATATCTGGTGTGATCGCACCTGCGCAATAAGGGCCGCAGGTGCGAGGTCGCATGTGCGGTTTGGGCGAAGCTGGGCAGTGATCACAGGTGCGAAGGGTTGTCCGCACATGCGAGGTCGCAGATGCGGAGGTGCGTCGCAGGTGCGAGAGTGAGAGAAAAGTCTGGTAGCGCAGGTGCGAGGGTATGCCCGCACCTGCGAAGGTGCTGATGCGGAAGGAAAGGCGCAGGTGCGGAGTCGTGCTAGGCAGAAGGAATGTGCATGTGTGAGGTTTTGGTCGCACTTGCGAAGCCGCAGGTGCGACTACTGTTCCGCAGGTGCGGTAATGTCGCAGGGCAGAAGGGTTTTTATAAATAGGACTTGGCCCATTTTTCTCCTATTTTCATTTGGTTTGGACGACTTTGGAGAGCTTTAAGGGGAGATTTTCATCAAGCAATTCTAGGTAAGTGGTTTCTTCCCGTTTGTGAGTTAAATACATGAATTATGCATGAATTGGAACATAAAAATTAGTATAAATTGTGGAGTTTTTGGTAGAAGACCTAGAATTTGGTATTTTAAATTTTTGACCACGAAATTGGGCATGAAATTGAGAATAACCCATGGATTCTTCTACATGTAAGTTATTCAAAGAAGCATATAAATTCTTAGAAAGGTCAGAAGAACCCATAAATTCCAAAATATAAATTTCAATACATTCAAGCTCATGATTATAACTTTTCCCAATAATATTCGCAACATCAATAGATTCTACATAATTGCTCAAACTGTCACAGAAAGAGTCATAAATAGGTTCATGAAAGAGTATTTGATCACTAACGTCACAATAATCATGCATATCCTCTTTAATAGTAGCAAACACTTTTACAGGCTCACAATCAACATGCCTAGAAGAATGACTTCCCATCAAACAACAAAACTCACATTCTAGCAATTTATCACATGAAAACTCACTAGACACTTGAATAAGAGAAGAAAGAATATTTAACTCATTAGCAAGCCTCTTCTCATAAATTTCATGCATCTTTCCACCAAGTTGGAATGCATAATCATCTATGTCATACTCAATTTCAAAAGGAAGCAAATTACTCTTGTACTTTAACTTAGATATTACAGTTAATGACTTGATATGCATCAAAATATCATCATCCACAAAAATTATAAAGTCACCAACATAAGAAACAAGAGTATAGTTCATTACCTCCAAAAATACCTTAGGTGTTCTAGGAAGGCCAAGAATGTGAATGAACCAATTATACATATCATACTTGGACTTATTTACTAATGGAACAACATCACCTTGTATTCTTTTATGCAATGATTCCAGCTTAGCAATGGCTTTAGGAAACTCCATGTTATAAATCTATAAATAAGAATTAAAATAGTTAAAAGGTTCAATAACAAAGAATTTAACCAAGCTTTTATCTTCCACCATCCAACAAGAATTAATTTCGCCTAATTCATGTTGGAATCCAATTGGATCCTTTACCGCCATTTCTCGTGCCTCACCCCTCCTTTCAAAAGGTCTTTCAACACATGGCTGCACAAAATCACAAGAACTAAAACAAGAATGAGTTAATAGGTTAGGAAGTAAAGAAATTTTATTCTTGCTTACACTCTCTTTGGCTTTTATCACAAAACTAACTTTTCCCTCACCCTTAGCCTCTTTTTTCTCACTAAAGTTTTTTTCTTCTTCTTTACTCAAACCCTCTTGTTTTTCTCTCTCAACCTTAAAGACTTTTCTTATCTCATTGCCTTCTCTCTTTTCTTTCCCTCAAGCTCACTCTTTTTCTCAATTGATATCCTAGTCTCTTCACTCAATACAACCTCTCATTTTTCCTCTCTTGGGATGTCAACATGCACTCCCTTACTCTTTTCATTCTTTTCTCTCTCATATTTTTCCATATTCTCTTTAACAGTCTTTTCATCTTCATAAATTTGTGAGGGAGTTAAAGGTCCAAGAATAAGTTTTTTCCTATTAACCTCAAAAGAGTATCTATTTTTTTCCATGTTATATGAAGCTCTTCTATAGGTATACCATGGCTTTCCCAACAAGATATGATAATTATTCATGGGAATCACTTCACACCAGATCGCATCCTCATACCTTCCAATAGAGAATAGTAATAACACTCTTTTATCTACCTTTACTCCTCTCAACATATAGGGTTCAATATGCTCAACACAAGGCATGTTCAATTTTTCAACCATATAAGTGCAAATTGAGTTATAGCCAAACTCTTTGTCAATTCTAAGGGCACAAATCGCAGACATCACTTTAGCTCTTGTTTGAAAAATAATTTTACCATTGTCTTCCATCCATTCGGTATACTGTAAGTTCGACTTTTCAAGCTGTTGAGTCATAGCTCGCCTCCTTTCACTATAACTACCTGTTTGAAACATCTTGAACAAAGATTAGAAGAATTATGTATTTCTCAAACTTTGGCTTTTTCCTCTAATGTTCTCGCCTCTCTTGCCTTTTTTCATTCAAAGCAATTCTTGGTCATTATACTTTAGATTTATTAATAAACCTTACTAGTCACAACCCTTAGTGATAAGAATGTGGAGTTAGAAAAAGAATAGAAAAGTGAAGGACCAAACCTTGGAAGAATAGGAATTAGTTATGTAGAAAAAATAAGGAAAGAATTTAGGAAACCCAAAACCCACAAGAATAAGGAAAGAACTTACCTTAATCTTCAAGAACTAGGATGCCCTCTTCTTGTTTCCTTTCTTAACTTGGAAACCAAATAACACTTGAATTCTACAAATAATAATGAGCCATAATGCTTTTCTTTTGGCTGATTTTAGTTTTTTTGTTTTGTCCAAGAACCTCCCAAGATTATCAAGATTGAAATCTTGATTAGCCTATGCTATGATACCACTTGATAACAACACGATAGGAGTCCAAAAATTACTAAAGAAAATCAAGAAATGCGCGGAAGCTAAAAGAAAATAAAGAAACAAAAAAACAACGAAAAATTAAAGATAGATTGAATTCAAGAAAGAGTTTCTTGAATTCAAGAAGTCTATTCTTGAAGTTGAATCCTAACAACAACAATTAGCTAACAAAGAACTAATCGCCTTTGGTAGAGAATTAAAAACAAGAGATAGATTGTGAAACCCGACCCTTTAGAATAACAAGAACAACAATAAGCCTAAACTTATCACCTTTCTTGAATACCTAGAAGTGATCTAAGATTTCGAAAGAGTTTAATCTTACCACCTTAAGTTGAGTCTTGAAGGTTGAAGAATAAATCCAAGAGTAGCCACACACAAGAGTGCAAGAAAAATCTCATAATTTTTATTGATATTATCTATAATAATCTAAAAATAAAGAATATACCCCTTTATATAGAGAGGGGGTCATGAAATTCCTACCTAAAAACAAGAAAATAAAGTCCTAAACTACTTTGG